CATGACAATGTTCTCGTAACCAATCAATAATTGGAAGAGCACTTTACAAGCTGGAACGCTCCTTCTTCTAACGAAAATCTCGGACTATACTTTTATCTCGTCCAAGTCCTGCACACATAATTATGCATATTCAAGGTTGTTGTAATGGAGGTACAAGGTCTGAAAGCGATTGCGCCAAATCGTATTGTCTATTGTACGATGGAAGTGGACGGACACAAACTCCAAACGGATCATGCCGAAGCGCAACGACCATCGTAAGACCTTTAAAACCTCTCTTTAGTATTGTCCAACAGAAATCGCTATTTGTTCCAGCTGGGACACGCAAGGTGATTTCTCGACGAAGAACCCTTTGCCGGTTGTGAAAGTGAAGTTGTACTCGGAGGTGAAAAGTATCGTCTCTTTCGAGGACAAGGAATTGGGAAAGGTAATCAAATCTGTTTGATAAACGTGAAATTTTGTTGTGTAGACCTGGGTATGTCACGGGCAATGTTTTTATCATCACACCTCTTGTTGTGACTCACGGGTTACGTATTGGTGGTCCAGTCCACACCACGACGCAAAAGAGGGGTCCTAGGTTCCCACCTTTGCCTCCCCGTCCCCCAAGAGAATCCTGGCGCTCGTGAAAGTCGCCCCAGCAACACTGTACCAACGATTCAACACCAACTGATCAATAAATATTAGGAATAACAGCTTTAGCTCAAACACGTGGTGATCACAATACTTCATGTAAACCGAATTCAAACATAAGCAAGAAAATGATTACCGATAATCCGATGAACTGACAGACAGGAGTAAATCCAGAGAAGGCTAGTCGAAGCGCACGGGGGATTATGTAGTAGGGGCAACAGCAAGGGGGAAGACGGCCGCGCGGGCCTTGACGAGACGAAGGAATGAATGTGTTTTCAAAAGCGCGCGTACTTTGGCGCGCCAAGAGTTTGGCGCTTTTTTGGCATGGCATGACATGTTTGACATGGGATCGCCAGTAGACTTCACAGGGCGCTGCGGTTTGAATTATTTTCCCGCGCGCGGTGATTTGAATGCAACATAGCGTGCGCTGATGTTTCAGCAGTACGAATACTACGATATATGGCCAATGAATAAGTTTGAGTGGGATAGAATTGCAAAGACTGTCAAGGTCTATCTTAAGCAAGTAAGGGACGGTAAAGAGATCGTAAGGGTAAACAGTGCTATCGAAGTATTCCAAATTCGCAGTGACTAGGAGTCGTAACACATAGCTTAAAAAACCGAAGTACGCAGTTTCCTTTCACGTTTGCGATTTCCTGTTCAAAATTGGAGCTATAGCCCTTTTAGTTAGCCGCAGTTATGAGAAACCGACTTATGATTAGCTTGAAGTTTCTTATCGGGAATATGTGGTTATTTTTTGAAGAAAGGTTA